AACCCATTAGTAAAAGTGAATTCGTTGTGTTTGGGATTATTAGTTGCAGTCCAACTCGTTTTAACAGGTTTTTATTTGCTTTGATTCTATTTAATTGTATTTTTGTTTTTTTGTTGCTTGTTTTGATTTGCCACTTGGAAATTGTTAATTTATTCCTTGGCTTTTATTCTGCAGGTTTTCCAGTAAAGATTGTGGGAACCTCAGGTCTGTCTCTTAGCCCCGCCCCCTGCTCCCACCTGAGCTCCTCCCACACCTGTCGGCTCCTCTAACTGTAGCTGATGTTGCTGAGCAGCAGTCAGAGAGCCAGTAGTTCCTCTCGGCCATGGCGGAGTCCCAGCTGGTGTGCATGGACGATGAGCACGTCAACGAGAAGGTCCCGGAGTCCAGGCCGGAGTTCTACTACAGCGAGGAGCAGCGGGCGGCCCTGGAGCAGCTGCTGAGGAGTGGAGACGGAGCCTTCAAGATGCGCCTCAAGGAGGACAACATCAAGGACTTCCTCTGCGCCAAGGAGGTCAAAGTCATGAGAGAAACCTTCCAGGAGTACGACACGGACAGCGACTCTGAGCCCGGCGGGGAGGAGAAGCCCAGGGAGGCCTCCAGCGCGGACTCCGGGGTCCACTCCACCTACTGGCCGCAGATGTCCGACACCGAGGTGCCGTCTCTGGACATCGGCTGGCCGGCCAGCAGCGGGGTGTATAAGGGAGTGACCCGGGTGTCCGTTTACACCCATCCGCCCAAGGAGCCCGGGCCCCACATCAAGGAGGTGGTACGGAGACTCATCCAGGGTTCACATAAGGTAAAACACCATGTTTCCAGAAAAAACAACATCCTTTATTTATATATCAGAGAGGGGATAATCAGAGAAAAATAAAATATAGGCTACAATTAAAGTTTAACAAAGTGATTTCCAGAGGTGGCTATTAATTAGTTACATTTACTCTGTTATATTTACTAGAGTAACTTTTTTTCTTTTACAGGATTTTACTTTTACTTAAAGTAAATATATGATAAATTATATTTATCACTGCTTTTACTTCTGGTGACTCCATCCATTGTCAATAACTTAAATTCATGAAAACTAGCTTTTTTTTTAAAAGCTTATATGCAGCATTCTGACATAGGCCTACT